GCCTAGTGGCCCCGCGCGGGGAGACGTGCGAGCGGTCGCATAAGCGGCGGACGGGCAGCGGCGCGCCTCGCCTCCCTACTCCTCGCCCCGCACCGCCATTCTATTCCTCGCCGAACACCGCCTCGAACGGGGCCGCTAGGCCGGTCACCTCACCGCGCGCTTACATTCGCCAGTAGGTTGGGCTAATACGGCGATTTTTAAAATTTCGTATCTCGATAACTATTCGTCCAAGCGCAAAATAGTACAATAATTTTCTGTTTGTCTTAGTCCCCTCTACCTTCCCATGACCGGACGTCAAAGTCTTGCGTAGCACCCTGTATATTATATTGTTCTTCAGTTTTTCAATCCAAATTTCATATATAATTCATTAAAATATGATTAATTAGTTCGTCAAATCTAAGAACGAGCAGTGCAACGTGTAATGTCAATTTTATTAATTATTATAATTTGCTTACTTTATAATTCGCGATATAATTTGTAGTAAATTTGATTTTCTAAGTAGATTTATGTAAGAATACATGAAAACACTTTCGATGTGTGATAACGTGTGATAACGATACATTTATAAATGTAGACTGAAACCATAATAACAATAATTTTTTATATAATGATAGTCACTCTACGACGGAGAAAAATCTACGCCCGACAAATTTGTCAAATCTAAGAACGAGCAGTGCAACGTGTAATGTCAATTTTATTAATTATTATAATTTGCTTACTTTATAATTCGCGATATAATTTGTAGTAAATTTGATTTTCTAAGTAGATTTATGTAAGAATACATGAAAACACTTTCGATGTGTGATAATGTGTGATAACGATACATTTATAAATGTAGACTGAAACCATAATAACAATAATTTTTTATATGTATAATGATAGTCACTCTACGACGGATTAATCATTAGTTCTTGAGTTATAGACATTTGAAATTTTTGGAAATCATTATTAAAGAAAATTTGCGATAGAGTAACCACAGACATTTCTAATAAAAAATTAAAAATTAAAAAAACCTTTTACCGGTCATCGCCATATTCAAGAGGTATGCCTCTATCTATGTGTATTGAAACTTTTTGCTTCTACAAGTGTATACATTTCTTCATTACATTGTGTACCATCACTTCTGAAACACCCTGTATAATGAAAAAGAGGGGCCTCTACCTATGTTTATTAGGACTTTTTGCTATAATGTATACATTTCACCATTACATTTTGTAGCATCACTTTTGAAACACCCAGTATAATGAAAAAGTGTTCATGTACGGATTCCATGAAATTTCAAACATCTATAACTCAAAAACTAATCAACCGAATATTAATCAATTATATATGAAATAGGGGTAGAAAAGACTGGAAAGAATAATAGAATTAGAAATAGCCCGATATCTTGAATATTTAAAAAGTTATTCAGGAATTTCAACGTAAATATACATATACATATATGTATGTATAAACTGAACCGTTGCACCGATTATCGTCAAATACAATACCAGCCATCTTTTAATCACACTCAATAAATATGCCAAAGTAGAAGGCGATATCTCAAAAATTGCGGACGTGAGAGCGCGAACAATTTTTTTTCTAGCGCTTAACGAAGTATCTAGAAACGAACTCGTCCCATACAGCACGTATGTCTAAAAGACATCTTTAAGACGTCTTTAAGTGGTCTTT